AAAAAAAAAACATAGAATTAGCATACCAACATTTCTGAGGGAGTTTTGGTCCTAGATGAGGTTTCAGTAACTAGGCCTGAGTGTAGAGTTGAGATATACAGCGGCTTCAAGCAATTTAATGGTAAAAGATGAACAATTATGAGACACAGAGAAAAGATTGAAGGATCAAGTTCAAAGGGAGGATTAGAGAGCAGAACTCAACCAAAGGTAAAGCAACAGTTGGAGACATAAGACGCATTACACCTAAACCTACAATAACTGTAAAATACGGAGCTCCTATGACTAATATCGTTTGGTAAAGAGAAGGCTCTTAAGGGTTTCAATGGTTTGCAACAAAACTGAGAAATATTTTTGCCTTTCCTTTCTGTTTAGACAGCAGGGAACTCTTTCACATCTCATTATCTTCTGCATCAAGCCACATCATGTTAAACAACATTCTCATATTGTCTCTTCAGATAAGCCTCCTAAGAACCACTCTTGGTGGGAATGTTCTAATTTGGCCAATGGAAGGTAGTCATTGGCTGAATATTAAGATAATTATTGATGAGCTCATTGAAAAAGAGCATAATGTGACTGTGCTGGTTGCATCTGGTGCACTTTTCATTATGCCGACCTCTAACTCATCTCTGACATTTGAAATGTATAAGGTGTCCTTTGGCAAAGAAAGAATAGAAGGAGTGATCAGGAACTTTGTTTTGACATGGCTGGAAAACGGACCATCTCCTTCAACCATTTGGAGATTCTATCAGGAGATGGCCATAGTCATCGAGGACTTCCACATGGTGTCTAGAGAGATCTGTGATGGTGTTCTTGAAAACCAAAAGCTGATGGAAAAGTTGAAGAAAAGGAAGTTTGAGGTCCTGTTATCAGATCCAGTGTTTCCTTGTGGTGATATAGTAGCTTTAAAACTGGGAATTCCATTTATGTACTCTCTGAGGTTTTCTCCAGCCTCAACAGTGGAAAAGCACTGTGGAAAAGTACCATACCCTCCTTCCTACGTTCCTGCTATCTTGTCAGAACTCACCGACCAGATGACTTTCTCTGACAGAATCAGAAATTTCATCTCCTACCATCTGCAGGACTACATGTTTGAAACTCTTTGGAAATCATGGGATTCCTACTACAGCAAGGCTTTAGGTATGTAACAATTTGTGTTTTATTTGGATTTGAACAAACAGAACTTTTTGTCACCTCTTTAATTCCCTATATTTATTTTTTTTCAATTCTGTGTATTGATTGAGATACTGTCTACTACTATCACTTGATGGCAGGAAATAACATAAATGGCATTATACTTCAAAACTAAAGTGTGCCAATTTCTGATTTTATGAACTTGAAAATACCAACTAAGTTTTTTTATGCTTAAAATATAGTTACAAATACTTTAGTTTTAAAATAGGACTGGATCTTA